ACAGGCGCCCGCCACAACACCCGGCTATTTTTTGGTTGCAGCCGTCATTGTTGTTTTGGCGGGTCCGGGCTGGGGATTCGAACCCGCTACCTTAGGTGTACGTGGCTGGCGCCTTAGCCGGTTGAGCTATAGGCGCTGAGTCCAGGAGACAGCTATTAATGAATTCAAGATTTTAGTAGGACACTGAACAATCTCATGAGATGTAGGATTTTTTTTGCTGTTAGGAAATAAAAAGTTGAAAAAAAAAATCAGATACTGAAAGTATACTTTTCATATATGATAAGTCTCCACTTGCTCCATTTATTAGGAATCTTTGGAAACACACATACAAACACCCAGCAGTTTTATTTCCCCGGTTTATGTCCCTCCCACGCTAACTCCAATTAGTGATGCCACTGCTATACTTAAACGGGCCAAATATAAGAGAATGACATCTTCACAAATTCCCATCTTCATTTGATCTTCTCAGCTTGTCAGTAAATTCTGACGCAAAAAAAAATGTCTCTGCAAAGGCGATGATTTATTTGTCATGCAGGTATAGACGGAACCAGTTATGAAAAGCACTAGTTCTACCAATTTATTGCAGCAAGAGGGATAAAGCATCATAGTTCCTTTATCAGTAGACTTTTAGTATCATCACCAAAAAGAATATACAAAGAAATACAACATTGTGTTACTTAAAAATGCATATTTAATGGTCATTCCACCAAAATCAAGCAGAATCAGATTTCAGAAGTTTTACATGTGTGTATGCTTTGAAGACGCATTTTCAAGTTTGCTAGACGTGTCCTTACAGATACAATCAACAGAATGTTCTGAGGTTGGCAGCTTCTCACGCATTTAAAGACGAGATCCTAACAACATTGTGTACCACGAACACATCAGACATTTCAAAAGCTATATGGAATTTCAGAAAACTTACCAGCAGTCATGAAATACATTTTCAACATAAAATTTAGGCACTCTACACCTTGGAATAACCATAAAATATTCCAACAAGAGTTAATGCACTTTGTGATTACATCTATTCAAAGGTAATTCTCAATTAAAATCTAAACTTATTAAATAGCCTTTAAATTAGAGCCCATTAAATTTCAATAATTACATGAAAGATTTGCAGCACTGTAGTATAGTTAGAAAGTGTTGAACCATTTCTGTTAGTGACCCCGGAACCTCATTCTTCATGGTATTTTTTTAAATAGAAGATTCTGATAAGCATCTCTCCTCTTTTCCTGCTAATATGTGAATAAGAATCCCCTTGACCAATTTTAAAGGTATTCCTATTTTATGTTTTCTGCTGTAGCTGCTTTCTTAGCATGCAAAACTTCAGCAAATCAGAGGGTCCCTGGACACCAGGAAAAACCAGCCAAGCGTTTTTGTCACTGACCCCTGGGCTCAGGGGATGGGCTCTGTCATTCTGCAGCTAAGCACGCCATCCAACTAGGCGCCTGTAGTCTGTGCTGTGGGACTGACTGGTGTGGAGGTAAAGGGAAGGGTAATCACAAATGTCACTCTACTTGGCACAAGGCCAAGGCCACCTAAACCCTGGGTGTCATGAGGCAAAGCTTGCTGATGTGTAGTGTGCTTCTGGGGTATCCACCTCTCTGACTGCAGACTGAGGGGGTGGGGAATGTTGCTGCTACTGACCAGCCATTAATTGCAAACGAACTTTCTTGAACTTGAACGTAACTTGCATCGCCAGAGCAGCTAGTTAGCAGCTAACTAGCTGTTCGTGTTGAGAGTCAGGTGTATTTGCTCAGTGGGATGCATGTAGGTAGCCCAGAAAGCAGTGAGATAGCCTTTCAGGACTTTTTAGAGGCTAACAGTCTGCACACTGACTCATCAAAATCACCAAAGACTAACATATAAAGATCTATCCAGAGAAGTGAACTTGAGACTAATTTGACTATAAGTCATAGAGAAGACAGCACAGTAATTTCCCACAGGAGAACGTGGTATTTCTTCCCGAGGATCACTAGTAAGTTAATTACACTGCTAATGTTTTCTGGCTTACGTGAAGAGGCAATTAGCCTAAGTAAATCATAAGTGAGATGACTAGTTGATTAACATTTGTTTCTGTTCATCGATGAGCTCTGAGGTTGCTCCTAAGCCTCCCTGTGAGGAGGAAGGGGCAGGGAGAGGAGGGGGTTAGGAAAGAGAGGTCATCAACTCCAGTTTCCACAAATATAATTAGAACCGTTACTGCTAGCTGGCAAACACTGGTGTTAAATGCAGCATGGGTAAGACTCATTCAAAGGTTAGAAAATAACCTTGCCAAGAGGTGACAGAAGCTGGGACACATTAGGAGATGACTGCTGATTTGGGAAATTCACATAAAACCTCAGCCTTTTCCCCTGAGCAGAGAGGATGTGATGCTAAAAATCAAAGTGGATTTTAGACGTGGTGGCGGTCCATCCCCACCCAGGACTTCAGCTTACTAGGCATATTCCACATGACATCTGTTTTGTGATGAGGACCTGAGGCTCACGACAGCACAGTTAAGGTGACAGTCCCCCTCTGGTGTTTCAGAATGGCAACTGCTTGCTCATGCGTAAGACCTTCCAGGGTCTTGCCATTAGCAGCTAAAATCTGATCGCCTCGTTTTAATCTCCCGTCATCGGCAGCTGCCCCCTACAAACAAGAGACATGCCAGTTTAATGCAGGGCAAAGCGGTTTATATTACATTGATATTAAAACTTTAACATCCGTCTTACATGCATGTTAAAAGAATAACTTTAAAAAACTAACAATTACGGTTTTTTTCTAGGTGATGTTTCACATAAGAAAAATATACGATGTGTGGTTTGAAGAATGGTTCGACAGCAGCCATAATTATCAACCATCTGAATAACATACTAGCAGAATGTACTGACACACTTCTTTGAATATGAGTGCAACCTTATTTCTCTATTCAGTATTAAATGGAATTGGATGTCATATCATGTCACATCCACGGAAATGTAATGTACAAAAAGGGCAGAGAGAATTGGATCTGGCGGTAGGCTTATTGCCGACGCTGTCATTACACAGGGTTCCCATAGCATTATTAGACGATCAGCGCTCTGATCTGTCAGAGGGAAGCACGGCTTTTAAATGGGTGAATTGTACGGTATGTGAATTATATCTCGATAAAGCTATTATACAGATTAAGATATATAAAAGAGTAGCATCTCTAAAATCTTGCAATATCAGACTCAGAAGCTCCCACTGTATCTTCATCACCTAAGTAAGTTCTAAATGACTTTTATTACACACTCAGTCATGTGTGGCACAAAGCAGTTGAAATCGGGGTATTTTTTTTTCTCATTGTAAAGCTAAATCTTTATTCTCAAAGTGCCATGATATTCGTGTTCCCAACACTGTGTCTACTTGCAGCATGGAGGTCTTGAGGTGCTGGGGCCATGATCTAGAGTTTGTAAACTGTGAAAAGGGGCTGGGTGTGGTGGCTCACACCTGTAATCCTAACATGATGAGAGGCTGAGGTGGGTGGCTTGCCTGAGCTCTGGAGTTCGTGACCAGCCTGAGCAAAAGTGAGATCTTGTCTCTACCAAAACCAGAAAAACTAGCCGGGCGTTGTGGTGAGTGCCTGTAGTCCCAGCTACTTGGGAGGCTGAGGCAAGAGGATCACTTGAAGTGGATAATCGAATACAAGGTAGGGGCAAAGGAATAAAGCAGCAGAGAGGGGGTGGGGATGGGGGACCAGGGTATAAAGAAGCAGGGAGGGGGGAGGGGATGGG